GGCTCCATATACCGTTTGCTCTGACCAGTAAACTTATACATGTTTTTAAAGAAAACAAATGTGTGGGAAAAAATGTTGTTTGTTTTTTGCCAAACCAAAATATTAATCTGCCCTGCTAGTGAAGTTTCTTGGCCACTCCACTGACTGCAATTTCAAAAGTGTCATCTGTATTTTCCAGTTCTTCCATGTATAAAGAATCCAACAGCAGTTTCCTTCAAGGTTCAGTAATCCTGAATGTTTAGGGGGCTGTAGCCACAAGATTTGGCAAACCATTCACTTGTCATGTTAATAAAAAAGGAATTGTTTCTGCCTCTTTAAGCTGGTATCTAAATGAAGGAGTTGGATCAACTGGATTTTAATCATAAAGTGCAGATTCTTCTTGCTTGCAAGTGTATAGCTTCATGGTGTTTAGGGTTTTCATCCGATTTCATTTTATTTAGAAAAAGAATTGAGCTTCTTCCATGTTACCAATTCTTGAATTTGCTTGTTTGTTATGCTGTTCAAACCTAATCAGTTATCTTGATCTTAAAAAGAAAATTGAGCCTTTCTGTGTTTTTTATTTCCCATAAGCAATTGAATTGAAAAGTGGGGTGGTTTTTTTTTTAAAACTCCTTAAGTTGTTTTTTTTATAGATGGCATGTCAGCTTTGAGGGCTCTTTGATGACTAGTAAAAGCTTATAACTTGTAAAATCCATAGCTTTTAATGCGTTTTGTTTTTCACTTCAAACGCAGTAGTAAGAGAAGAAATAATAGAATATTTCATGGTCATGCTGTTTCAACAGTTCAGACTCTTTTTACGTGGTGATGCTTATTCTGTAGCTCCAAATGCTTGGGCTTAAAATTTGATTTCCTAAATTCCATAGCCTGAAAGTGTTGAAGCTTAGAACAAGCTATCTGTAATACGGACTGAAGAACTGTCTTGCTTACAGGATTACTTTTCCTCTAATACAGAGATTATAAGGAATTAGATCAGATAAATGATTATACTATCTGTAGAATGAGAAAACACAGGGTAGATAATATTTGTTCCTGAAAACAGATTTTACCCACTCTTTTTCTCATCTGTTTTAATGTTAAGAAAGTATCACCCTTGACAAACCCTGAATAATGTTGGGTTGCAATGTAGAAGTCTCCTATGAAACACTGTAAATATCAGTGTATTTTAGCAAAAGATCTTGTTACTAATTACCCTCATTCTCTGTATCTCTCTGAAGACAGCCAGAACTCTAAGGTTTTTCTCCTTGCCTTCAGCTCTTGTAGTGATGGGGAATCCAGGCACTCCTGAGACGCCAAGTTGTGTGTTGCTTCAGGAGCAAAGAAAGTTAAAAGTAAAATCATCAGATCGGTGCCTTTTATAAGTGAGTTTAGTTTGCATGGAATTACTTTAATCAGAAATTTAGGGTCAGTATAACCACAGATTTGCTAAACTTGGCCACTGTTCCCTTCAAGGTTCCCACCAGATTTTCAGTGAAAACCTGCAGGACAAGGTGCCGGCAGCCTTGAGCTAGAGGGTGTTTTGCCTGTCAAGTAGTTCCGTTGAAATAAAGAGAAATACTGAAATAGGAAGGGCTGAAAATGAGCAAATGTGGTGGATGTTGAATACATCAAAAATTACCTGTGTGGTACTAATTCAGTGAGTCAAAGTGGAGTTTTCTCGTACCTTGCAGGTTTGAATTCGACACGGTGCTTTGTAAACAATAAATCAATGCAAGTTGTTTCTGTGAGCGCATAAAAGGTGTGAGAACTGTAATTTATTTTATAATAAATACTTCTGCTGAGCAAACAGTGAATGTAGCTATTAGAGACTTTCTCAAATAAGTGATTTTAGACTCCTGAGTGCCAGCTACTGATGTGGTAGTTGAGCTTTTAAAATGAAAAGACTGAATTCCTTTTGAAGATTCTTCTGAATGCTGTTGACACTTGTGCTAAGAAAGAATGTAGAGTAATTTAATTCATTACTTTACTTAAAGATAACATTTATGGTTGCAGCATTAACCTCCCTTGGTGTGCAGTCTGCTAAGCTGGAGATGAGATGTTTTGCTTGAATTTTTTTGGAGATGTTGCATCCTTTTATTAGGTGTGCAGAGACAGATTGTGCGTGGAAAAGCGAGGTAGAAAAAAATGTGTGAGGGAAAGGGCAGTTCAGGATCAGTCAGCTGGTGTGTCTGGATACAAGGACAAAGGGACAATTTTGCCCTTGGCTACAGTTTGACACTTCTACTGGATTCAGTCAGAATTATCTGTGCGCGCTGAAGGGCAGAAATGTCATTTTTATGGCGTTCTATATCCTCGGTTGCTTTTTTTTGTAATTGGCTGCGTATACCAGTGCTGTAATAGAGCTCTTAAATCCTGACCCCAGCCGAAATGGCATACAAATACCGGTATTAATACTTCTGTCCATTTTAAATACAGGATTGGCCTGAGTCCTTCCGCCGCGTTCTTCAGGCATCATCCTGTGTTTCAGCCTGATTTACTGGCAGCCACACACCTTTCTGCGAGCCCAGGGTGCTCCTCTGCTTTAGTGCTCTTGGTCCCATCTCCCCTTGCTCCTCTGCCCTCGGGCATCCCTCTCTTCCTTTGCTCACTCTGCTGCCTTCATCTGTTTCCCTACCCGTGGCTCCATTCACATGCCTCTGTGACTTTTAAAGGTGGCTGAGTGTCCTTTAATGGGTTCAGACCCCCTCACACTTCTGCCCCTTCCCGCTCATGTCTTCTGCTTCATAGCCATCTTCTTTTCTCAAAAAAAAAAAAAAAAAAAAAAAAGTTCCCTTGGCCAAACTGAAAAACAGCCCTTCTGCTCCCAGAGCAGGGCGCTCTGCCTCTCCTCGGTTCAAATGTTTCATGTTGCTGTGTCCTTTGCTCTCCTCAGGTTCTGCAGTTTTTCAGACCTTTGGCTGATACCTGGCCCCCCCTGTTTGGGAGGAAAGGCAGTGATTTTATTGTTCTCGAAACCCTACAGAGGAGCGAGCGGAAGCTGGATCTGCTTAAGCTGCAGCCAGCATGTTGGGATGGGACATTCCCAGCTCAGATCTAGGAGGCATGTGACATAATCCAGACTTCATTTATGGGCTCCGTATAACCTGAGGCATTCACACACAAGTTCAGCCTGAATGCATAAGCTTATATAAAGAGAACCCTTAAACTATCTTGGCTAAAAATATTTGTGAAATGCTGGGAAACATTTTCTTTTGGTGCTTTAGGATGCTCTCTTCCCTTTTATCTCTGTTACAGATACATAATGGGGTCACTTTCATGGTTTATGGACATCTTTTCCATGTGAAATACTGTAATTTCCATTAGTGGGTTAACAAGTATTTTGGGGCTGCAGTCTAAAACAAAAGATGTTTCACAACTACAGAGGCTAAAGAGATTGAAAGTGTTATTGTAGGCTTATGTTAACCTGTCCAGGTTAGTGTTCTGGCTACTCCCTGCGCACTTTGAATCCTTATTTGCTCAAGGAGTGATTGTTCAATTCAGTAACTAATGTTTAGTATTTATTATTAATTCAAAACATCATGTGCATGATTTCTTTCCAATGTAAGAGCACATTAGCTTCTCCTGCACAAGAAAACACATGTTAATCTGTTTTCCATTATTGTCCAAAAGATTTTTTCAAAAGGCAATTCATGTTGCCCCGACAACATTAAAGGCTGTAATTAAAAATAATTTTCCATTAATTTATATACATACACATTTACTTATTATGATCTTTTACTGCATTTCCCTAAGTGTGCGTGCAGAAACCTAAAAAGCTGTTGAAGAGTAAGTCAATATTCAGTGTAATGATCCAGTGTCGAGTGTGCCAGTACCCTGATGTACTTCAATTAACCATCTTTCTCAGCAAACACCTGCATAGAAAAAATGGATCTTCTGTGGGATCGGCAGAAAAACAAACCCTGACTTTTCTGCATCGGCAGAGGAAGGGAATTCCAGTATTTCACAGCTTTTACTGATAATGATCTGCTACAGATTAAAAATAAAAAACAGACATTATGGTGTTGGCAGATTGCAAAAGGACTTGCTGGTTAAAGCTGCTGTTCATAGGAGATGAGGATAGTGTTTATTGCTTCCATATGGTCCAGAGATATAAGACAGGCAAAATGTCTGGGGAAAAGTAATATGTCTTATTATATTGATACAGAACATACTTTCAGGTCTGTAGGCCCTTTTCCTGGTACCTTTCACAGGTGAGAGCATGAGCGTGAAATATTTGCCCATGATTCAGCATGATGATAAAAAAAAATTACTTAAGGATTGGATCCATTTGTGTGAGCAGAGCCTTAGAAATGGCAGGGATTTTAAAGGGTCAGGGCTGGTAGCTGCCACCTAACACACATATGTGAAGGATCTGGTTTTCCTTTACTATTTGTATAGTTTTCAACCCTTTGACTTTCTTACTCAGCTTTGTAAAGTGCATTAAGTGCCTGAGTCTAAATTTAGAGCTTCATAAATTTCTGTCAAAAAACTCTTCTCTGCATAATGTAAAATTAAATTTCTTCGTCTCTCTGACCTCATGATATTTTTTTTTTTTTTAGCCAAATTTAGAACCAAACTTCTAGGCACACTGAAACAGAAGAGTAACAGGCTACTTTTGTGTACACATATACACGTAGTTGGCTAAAGAACTGTAGTCTTTGACTTCTCCATAATTATCATTTGTGAAGCACCTTTACGTGTAGGAAAGATGACGCTGCCCTTTTGCAGAAAGTTGAGGAGTAAGATCTTCAAGGATCTAATGAATATGCTCAGATATCGATACACGTATTTCATTGCAGAAAGAGAACAGGCAAAGGAATTGGGGTACTTGCAAACCAGTGCACAGAGCTGAAACCTGAGAGGATTTCACCAGTCAGATTAGCTGATCAGTCTTACTGTGTCCTTTTAAAAAATTACTGAAAATTGGTATTGCTTGTATGAATGTTGCAATTGTACTGTGCATGAACTCACATAGCGGGCATTCTTCATGTGATAACAGTACTTCTGCTCTCTTGTTCTCCCAGGGCTGATGAAATCGAGATGATCATGACAGACCTTGAAAGAGCAAATCAGGTAGGTTTTTAAATGAGTCCCTCATAAAATTCTAAGTGCGACTTTGTTTTTTTTTTTTTTCCCCTTCTCTTTTGGATTTCATGACACTTCTTTTATATGCACTTAGCAGTCATAACTGTGTAGAATAAGAAAATATGCAAATTTCGAGAAAAATACAGCTCTTTAGGGATACTTTGTAAGGATTGTATGCACAGTAGAGTAGTGCTAGCCATATATTTACCTTCTAATAATTTAAACTTAATTTTCCTACTGTAGTTATTCTTGGGTTTATGTTTCTAAATCCATCATGTTAGCCCCTACTCAGACATGCAGGTAGTTGGTTTACCAAAATTAAAGGGCCTCTGCCCTGCTGAAGTGGCAATGCTGCCAGAGGCCTGACCTGCTGCTGCAGCTCCAGCTTTTGTGGACTTCTCTTTTTCCTTCCTTTTCTGATACATTTTATTGACGTATTAATTTTTAGCAAGGGCTGGATCAGATTGTGCCATGCAGGAGAACAAAGAAATTGTAATTTGTTCTTGCAGATGCTAATTTGGTAGATGGTGAAATGTCTCTCCTGCGTTCCCTCACAGTGAAATATTAATGAGAAAGTAGCACAGTTGTGTGGAACTTTTTAAAATAAAAAGGTTTTAAAAAAAACCAAACCAACACCCAAGCAAAGTGCCCTTCTGGACAGTCTGTACTTTGAGTGACTATTTGAGGTGATGAAGGAGATGTGTATGGACATGCAGGATTCACATGTGATATATGCAACAGGTTATGGTTTCACAGAGGGAAACCTCAACCAGGCATTTGCTTATCAGTGAACTTCATTAATCCCTCTGTCAGATTTGGGTTGGAAGGGACCTTAAAGATCATCTAGTTCCAACCCTCCAGCCATGGGCAGGGAAGATCAGAGATTTCAGATCCTAAATTTCTCAGATTATGGTTTTATAATCCCGCTGAAGCCACTCGCTTCCAGGAAGAACAGTTGCACCTCCTTCCCGCCACACGGCCACCTTTTGCTGTCAGCAGCGGCTGTGCGGCCACACCGTGAGTCAGACCAGGTCACTGATCCTGCTGAAAACCAGCCCCCCTCCAGCTGCTGCTTTGTTTGGGCTTTTTCCTTTTTCTAGATCAGCTTTCAGCCCCCACACTCCCCTGGTGCGGCTGACAAGGATAGCAAGTGTATTGTCCTTTATACTAGTTCTTTATAAATTAGAAAAATACTAATGAAGTGGAATGCCGATTTGTAAGTTGTTGGGTTGATTATTTAGTCAGTAAAAGAAAATTGGGGTTTGCATGGTAGGTTTTTAGTTCTGTCAAAGAACTTCTGTAGACACCATTAAATATTTATGAAAGTGCTAGTAATTATTTGAAAATCTGTAGCCTTTTTAGAAATGATGTAGGTGTTAAAGATGTTTTGGTAGAATTATTTTGTGGTTTTTGCAAAAGCAGTACATTTTGCAAAGTTGTATTAATTATTTACCCAGTAGGTTTTTTTCTTTTCTCAGACTGGAAAGGTGGTTGTTGCTAAAGAACAGGTATTTCTGATTTCCTCCTTGCCATACTAAAATGGATTATATCTATTTATACAGAAATGCTAAAGATATTTTCCTATCTAATTGGGAAAACATGCAATGTGGAGTGTTATTTTTTTTTATTATTGTGGGTTTTTTTTTTAATTAGTCAAAATTTATAACTGCTTATGTGCATGATCATTAGTTTGGTTGCAATTCAGCAGGCACTGAATCTGTGTGTAAACATCAGTGTGCAATTCATCTGAGCTGTTGTAAAGCCAGAAGAGGTGATTGTATCCCCCCTTCCCATCTTCCCATCCCCTGCTTCTCCCCCCAGCTACTGTGGTCCTGTCCCCTCCCTCACAGCAGCTTTTGCAACTGGGGGACCCTTCCTTGAGTCCCTTGAGCTCAGTAAATGCAGAAAAGCCTGAATTTGAGGTGAAAGAGGCAGGTTTGTTTTCTGTGGGTTTAGCAAATTGAAGCAGCTCAACAAAACGTGGGCAAAGCAGCAGCCGGAGGTGAGGGGTGTGAGGGGAGCGTCTGGCCTCAGAGGAGACGGGGAAAGGAAAATTCACCGGTGGAGGAGCAGGAGCAGCAAGCTGCTGGAGCAGCTCCGCTCATTTGCTGAAACGTGCCCGTAGTTCTTGTCTTGTGTGATGCTACACCTTATATAAACACTTCTATAAATTATAACTAAGTAATCTTTGTAGCAGCAATTCCTGTGTTTTACCTCTTTATAGCTGAAAAAAAAAGAAAAAAAAAAATACAAGAAATTAAATCCATTGCACAGGCCAGAAAGTGAGTTTGCATCAGGCTGAAATGTTACAATTGCAGAAACAAGTACTTAACATAATTATGTATTTAATAGTTAAATTAACATTTCCTTTTACCGTTTCAGTAAAGTACTTATTCCCCATTATTAAGGCTAACTTTAAAGAGTAATGCTCAGTATGATTCCTACTTTGAGGATAGACTGCCTTGCTGATTTTGATGTGATGTTTTGCTGCTCTGGAATTAACATTGACCCAAATGACTGGAATTTGGAGCAGAAATTTACAGAACAGCAAAATGTTTCCACTGAAAATGTGAAAAATATTTGCTGTAAATTTTTAAATATCTGGTATTTCTTGAAAATCCCTTTCTCAGTTACTGTCTTAAATCCAGAGCTGGCATTTCTGAGCCTCCGTTGCTTTGTGTAAGGACAGTGCTCTGACTCTTAAGAGGTGGGGAGTGTGGTTTCCCTCCAATTTTGCAGTAACAAGAGGGTGGATGTACTCACTGACACTGATCCGGGTGTCCCTGTTCTGGGTGATGAAAGCCATGGGGACAGAATTGATGTTGGAACTCCCACCCTCGTGTCCTGTTGGGTGAAGCATGAACTATTCTGAGTCTTCAGACTCCATCACCTCTCCTCTCCCACTGTTTTCTCCTCATTTGGATCCTCAAATTGTTTCATGCAGGAGCTTTCTGTTTGAGTGCTATCATCCCCAGAAGATACTACTGGCTCATAGAATTAATTACCTTTAAATAGCAGTGAGCTTTGCAATTTTCTGCTTAGAAAGAAAAAGGGGTAGTGACTGCAAAGCTCAGTTTCTCTCCATTGTATCATTAAGGCAAGGTATACATTGATCTTTCCCCCAAACCATCACCCTAACCAACGAGAGAAATAAATCCCTCACTTGAGCAGAGCAGGCTGGGGTGGAGGGTTTGGAGGCGGGTGCTGGAGGTCGCGATGTGGTGGCAGCGCGGCTGCTGGGGTGACAGCACTTCCTCAGCTGCTGATCCAGGCACTCGGCGCAGTTAATCCAGGATCTTGAGTGGGGTTTTGCAGCAGGGCTACTCCCATTCAGACTGACAGCTCAAACAGAGTAATTTAAGCACGCCAATTTACACCCACTGTTAGGGTGAAGTGGGTCCTGGCTGGGAGGTGGGTGTCAGTGGTGGCCTGTGGAGTAACCCTTCCACTTTAAAGTCCTGAGAGCTATAAACCGGTACAAAAATTACAAGAATATGGCTGCTCTACCTATACCTGCCTCAAGAGGAGCCATTAGCTCCAAGACATGTAGTTTTAGCAGAGGTGTGACACCTGAAGCCAGTAGCCCCCTCTTGCTTCTGCAGGAAGATGCAACTGCATCATCTGCAAGACCGCAGAAGAGCTGTGGGCAGCGCCGCTGGGGCTCTGTCAGCCCCCTCGGGTTCCCTCCTCCTCCTCCAGAGGCTCGAGGACTTGCTTGGCTTGGGTCTGTGAAGGGCTGGAGTCAAAATACAGATAAATGCAATAGGAATGGGTTATTTTCACTTTACTCACCCATCAGCTTGATAATGAAAACAACCCAAGAGTTCACCCTCACATTTCCATGAAGATTTAATAATCCAGTAGTTTGGGAAAGGGACTCGTTTTATTAAGATTTCATTTTGCACAATAAATCACTGCATATTTTCTGATATGCTACGAAGTATAATAATAAATAATTAAAACTAAACTACCCGTACTTGTCAAAATAAATGATTTATCAGAGTTTGGGATACAGCATCTTTGAATTTTTTATTGTTTGAGTCCCAAAATATTATAATTTCCAATCAGTGAAGTTAATGAAGCTCCAGTGTACTTTTCTTCATTTGCAACAGTTACAGCTGTGTGAATGTGTATTTTACACAAATATTTATGGTTAGCACTTTTCTGTACCTTTTCAAGTTTACACCTTTCTCATAAGTGTTTATGGCAGTAAGGCACGAATCTTTGGGATGATGAATTTTTTCAAATGAATTATCCTTCTTTTTCTGTACTTCATCTAGCAACCTGGAATCACTGGGAGTTGTATATGGGAAAAACTGAGATTTCTGTTGAAAAGACTCATTCCTATGTTGTGAAGACAGAAATACTTTGGAGTGTTAAATTTATTTTTTTTTTAAAAAAAAGGGTAATTTTAAGATTTTCCTATGGAGTCTAAGTTTGTGGTTTCATGTCACTAATGTATCCAGATCTGTTTACCGGCTTTATACATTCAGTTCACATTGGTTTTTCTTTAAAAAAAGTGAAGTCTAATGAGCTTTGTAATTCAGGCTTCTTGAAAAAAAAGTGCTTTTTCACTTTTAAAAGAAAAAGAGAACTTTGGTTAGGGTTGGTTTCATCTCCACAGTGCTGATAGTGCTCCCAGATTTCAACTTGTTATTTTTTCTGGGGAAAGAAAGCCAAATATAGAAACTTCTGTTATCAATAAAACAAGGACAACTGTTCTTTCTAAAATACATAACCATTTATTAAAGAATCTAGACTGGATGGGTACCATTTATTCCACAGAAATGTAGTGTTATATTTTAAGATCTGTAGAGAAAGGGTTAGTGAGTTTAAGCATTTTTTGGAACCAAACTACCACTAAAATCCATAAAACAGTGTCTGCTATAGAAGTAGAAGGAAAGCCTCACCAGGGCATTTTAGCAGAAATGCTGTTCTCAAGATTATTTTTTTATTTCCTTGGGTATGGTAGCTTCCTGTCTCTAACA